TGGACTAGTGCATTACTACTTGTCGTTGCCTGTAAACACGGAGATACTATTCAATTCAGAACTTCTTTCCATAAGTAACTTCTTGAAATTATGAATAATATTTACCACTCAGGTTTCTTTACTTTTTAAAAGAAGATATTCAGTAAAGGGAACTCTTTTCAAAGCTGAAATTTAGAGACTATTATCATTATTCATCAACAGTTATGCAACATTAGCAACATTATTATCCCAACCACCATTATTGTTATTTGAGCCTTCTATTATTAAAGTTTAATCTTCCTCACGGATTGCAGTCTATAAGTTATATATATATATATATATATATATATATATATATATATATATATATATATATATATATATATATAAGCACTGGACAACTATTTCGTCTTAGTATGGGACTCTTTGGCAGTATGAAACTCAGGAAAATGATACTCTTTGTCTAATGATAGTGCTACGTTGTAACATCGTAAGTTTGACTTGACAAAGGCACATCATTTGTTTTCACATTATTTGCATCTTTAAACTTCTTCACTGCTGCAGTTGTTGTTGCTATTGTCACCATCATCATATCTATGCGTAGTCAGTTCATGATGATTAACTTCATCACTATTATTATGAATCTCTAGCATTATTCTCACTATGATAAAATTCTAAGCAATCTGGCAGACGCATTCCATATCAACAGTGACAGAAGCTTTTAGTTTAGTGAAATAAATAATTTGAAGTTCCAGGACTGTATATAAAAAAATGTTGTTATGACTAAGTAAAATTAATCATCGTTGTGAAAGATGTGTCTCTTCGGAAGTTATTCTCATTTCCTTATCGTACTGTTGGATACGCCTTTTGTGCTCATAGATATACATAATGTAAACTAATGCATATTAACCACAATTTTATATTTATATTCATATATTTAAGAAATAAAATTCTATGAATATTTGATTCCGAAACTGTCATTTACTAATATCTTTCCTGAAAAGAACTGTTTGATTGGAACGACATATTATGAAGATATCACTGTTGTTTATTTTTATCTTTCATATTTTCTCTGTACTTTGAAGTTTCTTTAGCGATTAGATTGGTTTTATGGGGTAGGGTTTCAAGCCCTATGCTCAACCTTCTTTCTTCATTCTGGCTTAGAACCGGCTAGTAAGTAGTGAACTAGATAACTAGGTTACTCGTGAAGAAATATTAGCAGCAAACGCAGAATTACCGGTGAATACGAGTCCTCCGACAAAAGCAGAAGTCCTCAAAGCCATAAACCTGATGAAATTCGTAAAAGCAGCAGGACTAGATGGAACTCCTCCAGAAGCACTGGAAACAGACGCAGAGACAACAGTGGACATTCTCACACCATTATTGCAGAAGGTTTTCAAGAAAGGAACGAGAGGTACGTGCCTGCAGATTCAAAGAAGGGCTACCTTGTCAAACTCCAGAACAAGGGAAACCTGAATCTTTGCAAGAACAAGAACTGGTGCGGAATTAAGCTTCACTCCTGTTCAACCTAAGTAAAATAACAAACCGCATCATCCTGGAGAGAGTAAAAGATGCTATGGATTCAACTGAATTACGACAGGAACAGTTTGCTGGCTAGCTTCAGGAAGAACAAATCATGTGTGCATCAAGTTACAATGCTACGCTATGCACCATCATAGCTTAGAGCACAGAATGGCAGTCAACTCTCCACGTCACCTCAACTTCATCCATTTTGAATAGGCCTTCGACAGCATCGACAGAGAAGTAATTTGGAAACTGCTTCAACACTACGGTTTTAGTGCCACAAACCTTAATCAACCTCATTCAACACCTACATATGAAGACGCCACATGCCGAGTGATTCATAGTGGAAAGCAGCTCAGTGACGCCTTTGAAGCTAAGACAGAAGGGAGTAAGACAAGGTTGCCACCTACTATCACCGATCATCTTCCTGATTATGGTTGACTGAACTATACTGAATCATGCGGCAAAGTGTGAGAAGAGGGAAGGTGAGCATATGCTGACTGGACCGATGAGAAGACCCTAGAAGATTTGGATTTCACCCATGATGATTATTGTCTAATCTCACACAAATTCGATGATCGGTAGGTAAAACCAACAAGTTGGCAGGGAAGGTAGGGCAGTGAGGATGGGAATTCCCTGAGGTGAGCGTAGAGAGGACAGAGGTGATGAAGATACCCAGCCAACCAACAACAACAAGTACACATCATGATGAACAGGAGAAATCGAAAGGAAGTTGTCTCTTTCACCTATCTGGTCAAGCAGCATCGTTTCAAGTACAGGCGGTGGTACAGATGACAACATCAAAGCCAGGATCGGAAAGACAACATTGCAGGTCTTCATTTATCTGAAATCACTGTACAGATCTACTGCACTACACTGCACTGCAATGAACTGAACTCAGCATAAAGCATGAACAATATCTGAATTTTCAACACTAATTCAGTCAAATCAGTGCTTCATTGGTATGGTCCAGAAAACTGGCGCATTAGGAAAACTGTTTCCACCAAATAAAGACATTCATCAACAGCTGTCGCCTACGCTCACTCGATACTGCCATTGAAGGTCAGATCAGAAGGTCAGAAATAATAAGTAACAAGGTACTCTGGCTGCCTGGCTAGCTGGCTAGCTGGCTAGCTGGCTGGCTGGCTGGCTGGCTGGCTGGCTGGCTGGCTGGCTGGCTGGCTGGCTGGCTGGCTGGCTGGCTGGCTGGCTGGCTGGCTGGCTGGCTGGCTGGCTGGCTGGCTGGCTGGCTGGCAACCAACCAACCAACCAACCAAACAACCAACGAGGCAAGAATCCATCACCCAACAAATATGCAGCAGATGAAAGTGGAGATGGATTGGATTGGATTGGGGATACACTGAGAAGATTGTTTGGGGACATCACGTGCCAGGTGAGGCCATCGAGTAGAACCTGTGTGGGAAGCGACGAGTTTGGTGTTGCAGCTGAGGGTGACATGTAGGAGATGGTGTGAGGAAGAAATGAAAGATTGTGGGCAGTCGTGGATCCAGGTTGAGCGATAGTGCAGAGAGGAGATTGAAATGGTGAGGTTGTACTGAAGCCCTATGTTCCACTAGAAACACAAGGGACAAATAATAATATTATTAATCACTGCTGTTTACCCACATTTATTTCCACCCACAACTGGTTTGACTGTACACACGAACTACTTATCAGTGGGTAAAACTGGTAGCTGTTTAGTTCTTGGTGCTCACTGATAGCTGAAGTGTATTTGTCTAATCTCTGGTGTGACCAGTAAGGGATCATATAACTAAGAAAGCTAAGCAGTAGGTTATTAAAGAGAATACCATGCTTAATGTAAGAGTAAAAGTTGAGCACTCTAGTAGATAATGGTTCTAAATCAGTTTGTTTAATTCATATGACAAACGTAATACACTGTTACTTACTGGATGAAGTTTCGAGGAGTATTTATTACTCATATTCATATCGAAGTAATCTTACTACTTTCAAACTTTCTTTCTAGAGTCGTTTTCCACACATTATCTAGATGGTAGATGCAATCCAATTCACTTATGAATTAGAAAATGAAGAAGAGGAATTACCTACATTGGATTGGATAATCAAGGGGAGAAAAGATACAAACTTACATACTAGTGTCTGTAAGAAACCAAAACATTCGACCCCTGGAGACACTGCTACTTAAAAGCCGCCCTCCGGAATTTATTAAAAAGTCTTTACGAGCTTATAAAAGTTGCGATGATAACATTAGCGGTAACTACAACAAGCGAGAATTTAAATTCTCTGAAGTGTTGCAGTATAACGAAGGCATATCGAAAATTTTACGTTGGATTCTTAACAATCCTGGGATTAAGATGATATTCAAACGCAAAAACTTAGATAGAAACTCTTCAGGTTAAACGACCCAGTAAAGTCAATAAAGCAAAGTAACCTAATGTGTCAAATACTATGTAGTGATTGTGAGTTCAAGTATGTAAGACAAAGCAGTCTATGGAGACCATTCTGTGGAGCAAAGCACAAACGTTTAGCGAAACATACAGTTATAAACCCTACTAAGATAAGTAATTCACAGAAAAACCTGGCTATCACCATGCATGCAATGATCCATAATCACGTTAAAGGGTGATGGGAAAGAGTGACTATTCTGAATAGCTAATATAGCTAGCCGGGTAGAAGGAGAACGGTTGATCACAGAATCTTTGTTTATTAAATCAACACAAAACATACTTAACAGGGATAATTCATCAAATACAGCAGATATTTTAAAATTCTACTACCTTTAAGATAAAGGAATGAAAAACCGTTGGACCACATAAAAAAATGTTTGAAAGTCGTATGATTACTTTGACAAGAATACAAGCAATAACTTTTGTTTGAAACGTCATCCACTAGACAGTATTGTGTCACTGTGTTATATCTCTTGTGGAAAATCCAATGTGAGGAATACCTTCCACCCACTCAGCTGTAATTAAACATTATGAGGATTTCACAAAGAGTTAGGATATTCCTTATTAATGAATAGCTGTAAATGTGTATATTTCTAGCTAACATGAACAATTTTCGGATGAGCACTATCTCATTGTAATATATGAATTCTTGAACAGAAATAAGTAGATGCTGTGAACATATAACTTCCAATCAATAGGTTATAATTTCATAAGCATACCTTCAATTGTGTCACTTGTTGAGCAATATCATTAGCTCAGCGAATACACATATAAGTCACATTTACCCAAAACCTAATACAATTTATTATCAATTTTCATTGTTATTTTTTAAGGAAATGGAATCAGTTATCATGCTGATAGGTACATGTTTCTATAGAAACGAGTTATTCATGGTTATCAGGTATAAAATTCCCTCTATCCCTGAATAAAATTGAAAAATACTTCAACAACAGCATTTCAGAATAATTCAAGTCAGTCATTTCAATGATTACGGAAATAGTATACCTTAAGCTGTATATATCAGAAAAAAAGGCAAAAATTACTGATACAAAGTTAATCATCCACTCTTACCTGGTACTATATCTCCGAATCCAATTGTAGATAATGTTATAAAACAAAAATATGACCATTTCAAATAATCTGGATCTTGCCATATTGAAAATACAATGGCTCCAATGAGTATATAAGTAGTCATGATGATCAATGATAAACTAATTGGTACGGTTACTTTAGACACATCTTCCTCTGTGACAAAACCATCACGATATGAAAAAAATGATAAATCTTCTTCAGTCTTTGCACTATCATGTTGTGAATAATAACTTAGCTGTACAATTACTTCACTGTCTAAATCACCACGTGAAGAAGCTAATGAAAGACGTGATCTACCCATTTGTTCAGGTTTTAAATCATCTAATGTGTTTTCACAGACAACATATGGATTAGCAATGACTGTGGACTGTAACAGTCTTTGAAATATGTCAGGTCGTAGACTGTAAGATTCTGAAATGTGAGGTATTGTAGAACACTGTTGTCTTTGTGGATATTGTGATGTTTTTGACAAAGGATTAGGTAGAGTGAATGTTCTAGGATATTTAAAATTTTCATTAAGAGGAGGTGAAATGTCTTTATTCAGTGGATTAATAGCTTGAACAGCTGAAGTATGTTGCTGTAGTGAGTTACTTGCTGTTGCATTTGACAACCCAAGTTTTGAAGTAGGAAGTATACCCATAGGAATTTGATTATATGATTGATGAATATTTGCAGGATGAGGTCTGGTTAAGTTCATTATTGACGGAAAGTTATATGGTCTAGCTTCACGTAATGAAGATAATTTATACTCCAACAAATGATCATACGGTGATTGTAAATTCGAGCTGCAGAGTGTATTATTACTAGTCAATGCTACTTGCTTTAGAATGTTATTTTTCAGTTCCTCAGAAGTATGTAACGGGGATAGTTCAGTGTGTGTAGTTTGTTTAAAGTTACTGAAAGATTTTGAATTAGGTGTTCTACAACAAGGTTTACTACATTTTATTCTACGTAGTGAATCTTTAATTGAATGAGTTCTACTTAGCTGAGTTTTTATGTCACAAGCATTTGTATTTACAATCACAGCTGCATTATCATCTATAATCATATTATTAGAATCTGTGTTTTCATTCAACTTTAGGCTATTTGGATCATCATAATTGACATCTATTGATCGTACTTCAAGGTCTACATCAATATCCCTCCAACACAGTAAACGTATTGTTCCGCCATGATTGACGTATTCTGCTTCAGTTTTTTCACTAAGTACAGTTGAACCTGTAGAAACTTTATCAACAGATACACTATCCAAAGAATTTATTTTGCACATACTTCTCTTAACTTCAGATCCATAATTAGTCTGGTGTTGAAATAATTTTCCATAAAGCTTTTCATTTTCTAGTCTATGAAGTTCTGAACGTGCTTGTTCTTGAAGTTGTTTTCGTACACGTCGTTTATGTCTACGCTGTCTTTCAACTGAGCGTAAATAACGTGCCATCAAGTAAAATTTACGATGTTGTCCATCAAATGTGAAAAACTTTGCAGGTTCTTTTTGAAAACTACGCAGTGTAGACTTATTTGGTACTGGTAATGTTGAGACTGTAGGAAAACTTGCGGGTGAAGTGAACATATATGCAGGTGAGATGAATTTGTTACTGAGTGTACTGTTGTTACCATCGGTAACGGAAGTAATAGTATTACCGCATTTATAAATCGTTGACTTATTCATTTTGTTCTGTTTTTTAATTAACTGTTCATAAAGCTGTTTGGAGTCCTCATAAGTTTTCGGAGAGTTGGTTTCATTCGCATCACTTTCCTCAATCAATGCAGTTGTTCTGCACGATGATATATCAGCTTGATTATTTGAAATATTACTCATATCATGGAATTTTTTCATTGTGTTTGATGTGATGTTTGAAGTCATAGTATTATGTATTAAATCATATTCTGGTCCTTGATGGATATTTTGAAAAAAGATACCTGGGTAATTTGTGAAATTTTCTGGCCCACTAACTATATTACAACTATCCATATTGAGTTGTGTTGGCTTAGATTGATTGGTTCCATCGTCTTGATAGACTAAAGCTTGTACCATTTGTTGTACCCAGGTAAAGGCTGGATAAAAAAGTTCACGCAGATTGGTTTTTGTTTTCTAGAGTAAAAAAATGTTGGAGTTAAAATTAATGATTTAGGCATGAAGAAATCATTTTAATGAATAGATCTGAACAATATACAATAAGAAATCAAAATTTATCTATGCTATATAATCATCTACGCTGGGAATGAACACTCAGATAAAGGTGTGGAACATGTATCATTATGCAGTACAGAATATAATTGTAAAATTAGTACCACCGGTCTGTCTTTTATATCTTGAATGATTATGTTTTTCAAGTCCTTTGACCATTAACCAGTATCTTATTTTTTGTTATAACGATTATTTGCTTCTTTATTCAGGTTGTATGCAGCTCAAGAAAATTCTATGAAATAAAGTCATCTTGAAAATGGCTTTCTCATCAAGTTTTTCATTTTCAAGAGTCCATGAATAAGTATGATTACAGCTTGAAACATTCTTCCAAATAGAAAAAGATCATCCCATTTTCGATTTTAGGGTATAAAAGCAATAAGATAGAGTAGAAAAAAGAAGCGTAATGCAGAATACATCACAAATAATCATAAATATAAACATTGATGACATTTCCATATTTCCAATCACTTTGAATGTTGAGGAATAATAGAAAAATCAAAAGTATGCCAATTCTAACACGAGTTGTTTCCTACACCTTGAATTGGTTAGTTAAAAAAATAAGAGTTCAGTGTGATTCAATCTATCACCTTCATAGTCTAAATTCAAGTTGGCTTTCTTTTAGTTGATGATAACATCACTTTTCAAAATACATTAATTTTCATATTTTCATAATAAATTTTTGTTCCAAATCAGAATTTCATTTTAATCAGTTCATTGATTCCTTTGCACATTCTTTCACCTAAATTTGTACAATATTTAATTGCTATATCCGTGACTAACTGAGATAACCGTGGTTTGGCAGACTTATATTATTCATACCGGGTGATGATTAAAGGGCAAATGAAAATCTGAGTCGCTGCAGGATTCGAGCTAGCAACTTCTGGATTACTAGCCTGGTACTGTACTAATTAAGGTACGACAATCGACTGTTGACCAGATCTAAATTTCATCTCACTTGTCACCCAATATATATAAAATAAGTTTACCATACATAGCTATCTCTGATAGTTAAACTGATGATCAGTATGACTCTGATCCCCTCTAATTTAGCTCGATTTGCATTGGGTTGAGAAATCATGGCTGGGAAGCCGGTTTGAATACAACTAATAGACAGTTACGCGTTACCAATCCACATGGGAGTCCAGTAAAATCGCTGATGGTTAAAGTCAAATTATTTTTCTGGTCAGTAGTTGAGTCTTGTAGCTCAGATGCTAAAACTTCTCACCAGAAGCCCATAGGGCTTTGGTTTGAATCATGCTGAGTCCTAGATGTTCACTTCACTTTCAGTCATCACCTATTATCATTATTTACTAGTTTCTGAAGACATCTAGCTGAACAAAGCACTAGTTCAGTGTAACTTTCTTCCTTTTCAGTCATCAGGACCTAATTATATCTCAACAGTTAAGTTGGTCGTTAACTGTCACAGTTTATAAACAGGTGACGGAAATTTGGCTTGCCTACGCAAATTTCTTTTGTTCTACCTTAGCGGTCTTACTTCTTTTATTCTCAATGTAATAGCCTTGTAAGAGATGAGTACGAATGTTATGCATGAGTGAAAGTGATAACAAAGTCAAACAGGCTTAGATAAAAATATTCTATGATTGATGTGAAATGTTACAACACTGTGCTACTCTTAAATATGGTTTTGAGGATTTTGATGCAACAGCCTGTCTCCTCTTAAGTGACTGAAATTTATGAACATTTTGACTTGGTTCTTTTTCAGTGTAGTTTCTGAACTCCTCCTAGAATGATGGTAATGATATTGAAATACTCTCATAAGACTATTTAAAAAGAAATAATACAGAAAATTCATTATATGAGAAGCTAAAATGGACTAGAACAAGGCTTCCTTTCTCTAGCAGGGAAATTGATTAGTATCGCCGTTCTGATCCTACACACATAGGATTAAGTAGCATACAGTTCATTGTCTTTTCATTCCTATATTTTCAGGAGTCAAATTTTTCTCAAATATTTTATAATATTTACTGACTACCAATGTCCCTTTGTTGAGATATTCGTAAATGTTTATTTTTTCCACTTACGAATACTGCTTATTACTACTAGTGTAACAAGATGGCAAAGAATGAAAAGCAGAAGAATGTTCATTTGGACACTGTACATTATCGATGAAATATGGTAACCTTTCCATTGAAATATTCATTTGCACAAGGTGTTTCATTTTCTCTTCTTCTTCCTCTACCTCGTTTTGCTTCCCATATGCCTACGTTCTTTCTTACGTTTCTCTGTGCAAAATATTTACCCATTACTCCTAATTATCTATGACTTTTACCCACATCTCACCATATTCTACTTATATTCATTCTTATCTAAAGCACCCACTACACCAATATTAAAAAAATAACTTCTCTATATCCAGACTGATTGAGACTTACAACTATTTACGCTTCTATTAGTTGTAATCTTCAATTAATGGTCATAGAATAGTAGGCAGTGTTTTGTTGCCTTGTCTTTGGTGTTCAAAAGATTCTCCCATTCATAACTGCAGTTTGATGGCAAAGGGAAAGAATTTGATGTTTCAGTGGATTGAATCCTGTTAGATAAATAAAATCGTTGGTACCAGGAACTAAACTTGTGTTCTGAATTTATTTGGGTTCATTAAGAACGGAATGTACAGAACCAAGTATACGAGATACTACACATTGATATCACAACTGATTATGAGCAGTAGGCGAAAAAATCTCATCAGAGGGCTTCCTATCAATTTTATCTGCATGAAGATTTCATTGTAGACTAATTTTAAATCCTTATCCTTTTGGGAATGCAATTTTGGTCTAATTTGACTATGACTGTAGCAGTTCTTGAGCAGATCTGCTTGCCTTTGATTGATTTCTGTAGCTTCTTATGGCTTTTTCTACTCATAACACTTCTGATGATTTGCGTAATGCTAAAAATCAAACCTTAGTATAGATTTCTTCTTACATGACGATTTTGAAATATCTAGTCATAAGTCATAAGAATGCATCATTTGAGTTTATATTAAGCCTCACAGTGGCTGACATAATGGATCTAGTGGTTGAGCTCACTTCAGCACAAAATTTCCCTTGAAGTTAGTCAGCAAGTCAAGATAATGCCGTTTTGTGGATCTTCTTTCACGTTCTTCTGCTAAAATATATGAATACTGGCTTTCATCACCGTACGCAATCCCTTTTTATTACTACTTTTGCAGTGAAACCCCGTTATTCCTACATCCAGTACTGTAATCTCACTTGATATAGTTTTGTCCTATCTACTTATTCCCTTTATGATACTGTGAAGTGTGGCAACTTGAACACATTCACCCATGTGCGGGTTTCTACGCTGATTTTATCGGTCTATCTGTCTGACTGGTTCAGGTACTGTTATAGCCTTTATAACATCTTTCTTTGTAAGCACTTGGAATTATCCCCTATCTTTGACAAAGTCATACCTTTGAGAGGCAAGCACATTAGTCTACTAACAGACATTCTGAAATAGCATACAACTTTTGAATTGTACCAGTAGTAATTCATAGATATAGGCAACAAAAAGTCAATGAATAAAAACTAACTTGTGCTTTCATGCTGCTTATCAAGTACTTGGGCATAATCTTTTTAACATTCACTTTAATGCTGTGACAGGCATTTATCTTGCATGATAATGTATCACATATGTTAACCAACATTATTATGTCCAGAAGTTTCATTTTGACTAATCGCTATGACTTACTAATAGTATACTATGTATTATGATGGGGTAGCAGAGAACTCAAGTTTCCAGAAGTTCTAAAAGGCATTCTTTGATCCGTATACCTTTGTCTTAAAAGTGCTCATTTACATATCATGTAGAGTGAAGCAAGGGTTTTTAAACAAATGTATCATTCATTGATCCTATACTACATTTTCGAAGAAAAAAAGTATTTTGTGCCTGAATTAAAGTTTGTGAAAGGTTTTTTCACTTTTTGCAAATAGAATGTAGTAAAATGTTGTTTTTCTTAAATTAGGCAACTTTAAAGGCCACCCCAGCAACTGCTGAAATGACCAGTCATGTTCCTTCCCAGCCGAAATACCAAAATCCGATTGGTTATTTCATTAGTTACTAGGCTGGCTTTTAAAGTTATTCCTTAAATTTAACTTTTACCACATCATAATTTCTACACATTTATAGGGACTAGGAATTGCAGTGAAGTCGTTTTCACTGCCAAATATTACTTGAAGTTGGTGCATACTTTAGATTTAGGTGTGTATACAAAGTATACATACAAATTGGAAAACAGTGGGTAACCAATATAACTGTCTTATTCTTGGTGCTCAGCACTAGATGAAGTTTATTGGTGAAGTTTTGCAGTTTGATCACCAGGGAAAGTGACATGATATTGCAATGCATCCTGCATTAATGCAAGACTTCTGTCAGCTTCAAACACCCCTACGCTGCTTATCCATTAGTGACCAATACATCCACACGATGCATTTCTACGTGGAATCAGTCTTGGCTTGAAGAGCTTAGAGTTTGAGCTTTTGACTTCCACACCGAATGAAGGAGGTTCAAATCTCGGAAGGAACATCATTATCCTCATTGTTTCAGAAATGCTTTTCTTATATGTACCAATAGTTAACAAAACTAAGTTGGACAGTGTTTCCAATCCGTCAACACCCCATTTAACACCAAAATACTCATGAGGTTTAGTTAGTTTAGTTATAAACTACAAACATATGGTAGATAGCTACTACGTGGAAGAAACCAACAAACTAATTAATAACAAATTAACAGACAAAAATAAAGTTTGTTACAGATTAATGCCGCCATAATACCTCTACATATGATCAAAATCGAATGTAAATAGAGAATATAGTTGGGTACTGGCCATATTAACTGTTTATACAAAAGTCTAGTTATGCGACAAAGATGTTCAGTGAAACTGAGATATG